TGGAATACAGAGCAGGAACGCCTGCTTCCCGACACGGGCCCCCGCTGCGTTCCTCCGTGACGCCCGCCCGGCCTTCCAGGCCAGGCTGAGGGGAGAGCGCCCGCTCCCACCCCGACAATAGCTTTGTTGTGTCAAACCCCTCCTGGCAGGATAGGCTCGTTCCTCCCAGCCAGCCTCCCAGCCGGGTACAGGGAAGAAAGGGGGGTTGCTTTTTCATTGAATGAGCCTTTTAAACCACTGTCCACACGACTGGCGGCTGCCAAACTAACGTGGCCTTCCTCGGCCTGCGCCTTCTTCCCGGCTCCATCCAACACTGGGGTCAACACCGCCGAGTTGACCACAGTGTCAGCCTCCTCGATCTTGACTACAGCATACGTTTTCACCAATGAACTCAAGGAAGGAGAAATCCTTTCTCCAGATTGGTTTTGGCTACTGTTTAAAAGGGAAAATTGAAAAGCAAAGCCACTTCCCATCGACCTGAAAAATTAGATTTCCATGCTTCTAAGAGCCTTAACTTGCACTGAGGTCTCTGGGGTCAGAGTGCAGTTACTGGAGAAATTATTTGTTCTGCAGCTCTGTAGGCTGCAGAGCCTCAGCCTTAGGTAGTGTTAATTGTTTGGATGCCAACATCGCTAAAGACCAGAAACTGGAAATTCATATGGTTTTCATATATCATATAGTATTTTTCCCAACCATTCAAATTCGAGAAAAGCTGTTTAATTCACTGTCTCTGCCAAGACAGGTAATTAATTGGTTAGTGAAATTTGCCTGTCCAATATATAATGCTTTAATTTTATCTCATTACAGAATTCAACTTGAACTTTTGTAAAATTTAATGAATTTGCATCTTGTGCCTCATTTATATTTTGGCCTGATTTTTTCAATTGCCTAAGTTTGATGTGTTGAAGTATGGATGTGACACTACAGAAAATAAAATAAAAGCCCTGGCATGCTAAGCAGTCACTCTACCAAACTATATCCCCATAGGTTTTTAAACAACAACGACGAAATTGTTGTTGTTGTTGTTGTTGTTGTTGTTGTTGTTGTTGTTGTTACAGTGCAATCAAGAAGTGCCTGAGCTGTCCTGAAACTAACTTGCTGTGTAGCCCAGACTGGCTTTGAATGTGAAATACTCCCTGCCTCAGTTTCTTTGCAAACATTTAGCTAGTTTCTGCTCTAAAGGCTCTGAAAGTGTCAGCTTAACCAATATATAATTATTTTCCTGTCTTTTTAGTGAGTTTAATATTAGGCTGTAAAAATTTTTATCACCTCACCTCACATCCACCTCACCTCACATCCACCTCACCTCACATCTACAATCATCTCACTTCCACAACACCTCAGCTCCACAACACCTCACCTCCACAATCTTCAGAATTAAAAGATTTTAAAATTTTATTCCTATATTAGGGATAATTTAAGAAATTAAGACAAGTAAAAAACAGACCACAATAGTCAGGCATTCCCTTAAAACTTAAAGGAAACTTGTGGAATAGAATATTTGTTTAACTCTGTGAAGATGTGTTGCATTTGTTTTACCTTGCCTGCCTAACACACCTGATTGAGCTAATAAAAAGCTGAATGGCCAATAGCTAGGCATTAAAGGGATATGTGGGGCTGGTGGGCAGAAAGAATACTTAGGAGGAGGGATCTAGGCTCAAGAGAGAAGAAGAAGAAAACGAGGGAGAAACAAAAGGAGACACTAGGGGCCAACCAGTCAGGCAGACAGGGAGGAAGCAGGAAAGTAGGACATATAGAAAGAAAGGTAAAAATCACCGAGACAAAACATAGATGAAGAGAAACAGGTTAAAATAAGTTACAGGCTCTAGTGGGACAAGCCTAAAGTAAGGCCAAGCATTCATAACTAATAAAAAATCTCTGTGTCATGATTTGGGGGCTGGTGGTTCAAGAAAGCCTGCTACAGAAACTTTTGCTTCTAGAGGCCATGCCTGTCTCAAAAAGCATTAGATGTCAATTAAAAAAAAAAAACTATGCAGATAAAAAGGAAAAAAGTTACAAAGTAATTTATGTTAGTATCTTTCTAAATTCTTACATTTAGAGAAACCGATTTAAAATAAGAATGTAGTTAAGTTTATAATGTGTTTTCTAGGGCTCAATTTTAAAATCAAATTCTTGTTGTGGGACCTTTTCCCTTATACAAAAGCAAAGATATTGGGTAATCAGTCTGATAAATGGAATTTGTGTGTCACAAATGGCTATATGTATGTCATTATGCGTTTGAAATTTGTTCTTTCTGCTTATACATGCATAGTATTCACAGTGTGTAAAGCAAAATTCCGAATAGGAAATGTAAGTGTAAATCTGTGCTTACACTGAGACTGTGTGTATACAAATAAGAAAATGAAAGGCTCTGTTTGTTGAGTATGCCTTAAGTATGATGGGCACACTGGTAAGAGTGAAATAACCTTACAGGCAGGCAGCCTTTGAGTGGTGTTATCATTCCAGAGACGATTAAATGAATGCTCAGAAAGATGTAATATTATATCCCAACTCTGGCACCTGATTCTCTTGGCTTCTGTCTTAGAGTTTCTACTGCTGTGAAGAGACACCATGACCATAACAACTTTTATTTTTTTTATGTTTTTTTTTATTTTTTGGTTTTTTGAGACAGGGTTTCTCTGTGTAGCTTTGGAGCCTATCCTGGCACTCGCTCTAGAGAGCAGGCTGGCCTCAAACTCACCACCAACGTGCACCACCAAGGCGTGCACCACCAACGCCTGGCTACAACAACTTTTATAAGGAAGACATTTAATTGGGGCTCAGGTCAGAGGTTTAGTCCATTATCATCATGTCAGAAAGCATGGTGGCACACAGGCAGGCATGATGCTGGAGAGGTAGCTGATGGTTCCACATCTGAATCTGCAGGCAGCAGGAAAAGAGGGTGACACTGGGCCTGGCTTGAGAGTTTGGAACACCACCCCCAGTGACACACTTCTTCCAACAAGGCCACACCTCCTAAGAGTGCCACCCCCTATGGACCTGTGGAGGCTGTTTTCATTCTAATCACCACAGCTTCTAAAGCCCATGGTTTCTTCAGTACATCACACTGTATCTTAGATGAGAAGAATATGTTTCTTTGCCAGAATTTCTTTTTTACTTTTTATTTTGTGTGTATGACTGTGTCCCTGCTTGAATGTATATGTACTGCATGCATGCCTGGTGCCCAAAGAGTCCAGAGAGGGCAGCAGATGTCCTGGAACTGGAGTTACAGGTGGTTATAAGCCACTTTGTAGGTACTGGGAACTGAACCCAGCCTTCTGCAAGTGCTCTTGACCACTGAGCTGTCTCTCCAGCCCTAACCAGCACTTCTTATACACAGTTTAGAGTGATAAATGCCAAGAGGGGAAAGATTTCTACTGGACTTCAGGAATGTAATCAAGGAAGGATTTGGAGGGGAAATGGCGCTAGATGAAGCATTAAGTAATGTACAGGATTAGAATTTGCTGGAAGAGGGATGTTTTTATAATTTGAGATTATTATATAAGAGCTAACCTATAAGAGATTCATTTTAAAACTTTTTATAGAAATCCTATAAAGGAGGCGATAGAATTTCATATTCACATAGCTCTTTGGGATTTTACTTTTTTCTGAGACAAGGTCAGATCTGTAGCCCTGACTGGCCTCAGACTTGCTATTTCCCTGTCTCTGAGTGTTAGGGTGACAAGAATGTGCCACCATTCCAGCTAATAGTCCTTTGCTCTCTTCTTTGCCTTTTCTTACTATGTAGCCCAGGCTAGCTTCAAACTCACAGTGATCCCCTGTCTCCCAAGGGCTGTGATTAAAGGCATGTGCCACCATGTCCATCTTGATAGTCCATACTTAATCCAAACCCCCAGTCTGCAAAATGCAAGCAGACTGTGGAGGCAAATCCTTGAAGGACATGAAACACATCCCCAAGCAACTAATGCCTGAAGTCAAAGGTTCACAGATGAATATACTGTTACTTATTATAATTAGGCCTAGAATGTAGAGTTTTGTTGAAGCAATATTAATGCTCAAGACTATGAGGGCACTGGCCAGGATTAAAATTTGTTCCTTTTCTACCTCTTCCACAGATAATGAGATGGTCTCCAGCTTGCCGCTGCAGATGTCACTGTATTTCAACTCTTACTTTTTCCCGCTGTGGTGGGTGAGCTGCATCGTGATGCTCCACATGAAGGTGAGTTCACTCCACCCCCGCTGCTCTGCTCCCTCACATCCCTGAGAAGGTTAACACCCCATGGACATGTTACCTGACGAAAAGACTTTGCAACCATGCTCTCCCTTTTCTTTCTAGTATTCAGTCTTGCCTGATTACTACAAATTCATTGTGATCACTGTCATCGTCCTCATAACCTTGATCGAAGCTATCCGGCTGTACCTGGGCTGCATGGGGAACCTGCAGGAGAAGGTGAGATCTCTCATCCTTCAGGGCTGTGCTGCAGACAGTTAAGGTTTCATGTGACCAAAGCAATGGCCGGGGTGGAGGTGGCACCAGCCTGGGGTTAAGGAGCAGCATCTCCAGCTTGAAGATGTCTGTCACTGCTTAACCTTCTAAGCTCTGGTTTCTTCTACAGACAAGGAAAGTAACATTTGACAAGTTTACTGAGATGAAGTGCAGTGGCTGCTATGAAGTTATCTAAACACAGCAAACTCTTCACAATCAGTAACATTTCTCACTTCTTTGTCTTGGAAATGTTTGGTCAGTGCTAGAGAAGAAGGAGAGTCAGCAAGAGTGGGGGAGAGACAAGGGAGGTGATGGCAGTGAATATGACCAAAGTCCATTTTGTACATGTATATAGTTTTAAAAAGTGGTCATTTAAATGTCTGTTTGGAACCTTAAGAAAAGTTATAAATTCATGTCCAATGCCAGGCCCATGTTTTCTGAATCATCACCCTGCCTAAGTATTTAGTTTCTAAAGTCTTTACATTATTCTGTGGTTTGCTAAGCCCTTCGTAATAGCCCCCCCCCCCAGAAATTCTTGGTTTTTCTGGCCATTTTTAAGCCAACTACCCAGGCCAGGCCGATGTGTTGGCTTCTAGTCATGCTGGAGCTTCAGGGTTGGGGTCTCCCTCTCTACACACCCTTGAAGACTTCCTTTCCCACACTCTGCAGCAGTTTCTCAGTGCCTTTAAATACTGCACTCCGTTACTGACCAAGTGTGAGCTGTTGTACATTACACTGGCTTTCTATCTAGACAGTTCTCTGGGGACAAGACTGTGGTGTACTCCTGCATTACTCATGGAGCCCATACTGTAGGTTCTTTCTAGTGCTGAGTACCTGTCTGTATGCATAACTAAAACAAAGCTGTCTTTTACTAATCTTATAACTCTTGATGTATATCACTGCAGGTTCCTGAGTTGGCTGGCTTTTGGCTTTTGAGCCTTCTACTGCAGTTGCCTTTAATCCTTTTCTTGCTCCTTAACGACGGCCTAAGAAATCTACCCTTGGAGAAAGCAATACACATCATCTTCACCATCTTCCTGACTTTCCAAGTCATCTCAGCATTCCTGACCCTGAAGAAAATGGTCAATCAGCTAGCAGCCCGCTTCCACCTCCAGGACTTTGACCGGCTGTCAGCAAACAGTGCGGCTCTGAGGAGGAGGAGGCCGTTTACAGAAGAGCTCTGACCCCACACTGAAGAGTCCGTCCGAAAGACGACTCAGGACTGAGAGAATGACAGAGCATCTGAGATCAGGCCTGAGAAAGGGCACATGTATTCTGGGTTGTATCCTCCACCCTGAAATCCCATGGCGACAATGCTAAGATGCACTGTGGTCCATGAAAGCAATCTATTAACCCTGAAGCTCAGGGGATGTCCAACAGACACTAAATTTCTTGTTTCTGATGTTGACTTTTCAGGTATTTATTTGTAAGTCCATTGGTAGTTGTAATCTACCACCTTTTCGGTAATGTTTCTAGCTGTAATCTGTAACTAGAAACACAGATTTTCAGGAAAAATCAGTTTGGGTCAACGGAATCTCACTGGGTATATCAACACACTCCAGGACATGCCCCACACCCAGGAGTAGTTGGAAAACACAAAACAAACTCAGTGGTATTTTTGTGGATTTTTTATTTCATTTTGCTTTTGTTTAATCTTATTGTTAGGGGGTAGGACGTTGGAGAGGAGTTGGGAAAGAGGGAAGAAAACATGCAAAATATATGGTATGAAGAAAAAATTTAATAAAAAAAAAAAGAAATGTGTAACATCTCCTTTAAACTTTCAGCAATCTAATTGGCCGCTCTGGGTTTCTTGGAACATATGAAAATGCTTGCTCATCAGCATGCTCATGCAATAGACGGTATTTTTAACTGAGACAAATTTTGGGGTGTGCCAGTGCTCAGTTCCAAATCTCTTCTCAGTTGCTGTCCTGAGGTGAGGGAGGTGGTTGTGCTGTGGTATTTACAGAGTTTATCCTGAGGTGAAGAAGGCAGGCATATTATGGTATTTACAAAATATTTTGACATGAAACCAGCTTCAGTATTTGTGATGGAGACATCTGTTTTTACCATGGATCATAAGCTATTTATATTAAAGTATCAGCAGTGCATACTTATCTTGTGCAGTTCTTTTCAACTATGAAGCTTTTTTAACTGTCTTTTTTTTTCTTTATTTTTTTGTGTTTTGTTTTGTTTTGTGTTTTTCAAGACAGGGTTTCTCTATGTAGCCCTGGCTGGCCTAGAACTTGACCTGTAAACCAGGCTAGACTCAAACTCAGAAATCTACTTACCTCTGCCTCCCAAGTGCTAGGATTAAAGGTGTGTACTACCACAACTGGCTTGTGTGTGTGTGTGTGTGTGTGTGTGTGTGTGTGTGTGTGT